AAGGTCGATTACTCTCACCCTCCCTCTTTATCCTTATGATCGACCGGATTATGAAGACGTCAACATCTGAAGGGAAACACGGGATACAGTGGACAACTCGGATATAGCTGGATGATTTAGACTTGGCAGATTATCTAGCTTTTCTGTCGCACATCCAACAACAAGTGCAAAAGAGAGTGACCAGTGTAGCAAAAGCCTCTGTAGCAGCAGCAGATCTGAAAATACACAAAGGAAAAAGCAAGATCCTCTCATACACCCCAACATGCACCGACCAAATCACACTTGACGGAGAATCTTTGGAGGGTGTAGAAAGCTTTACATATCTGGACAGCATCATTGACGAGCAAAGTTGATCTGATGCAGATGTGAAGACAAGGATTGCAATTCTACGATTGGACAACATCTGGAACTCAAAACAACTATTGACAAGCACTAATGTCAGAATTTTCAACACAAATGTCAATACAGTTCTAGATTATGGGGCGGAAACTTTGATAACCACAAACGCCATCATGCAGAAGATACGAGTATTCATTAAAGGTTGTCTACGCAAAATACTTCGGATTCGTTGTTCAGATATCATCAGCAACAACTGACTATGGGAGAGAACAAACCAGGGTCCAGAAGAGAAGGAATTAGGGAAGAAGCAATGAAAGCGGATAGAATGTTTAGTGAGGAAAGCAACCAACCTCGTCTTAAGACAAGCCCTCATTTGGAGTCTTCAAGGGTAAAAAAAGGTGGGGAGGAACAAAGAATACACTTAGAGAATGAACAGAAACCTCGAAAAAAAGGTTCACGATAGAGTAGATCAGAAGATCCTGGTCGGCAGCCTATACTCTCCACTGGGAGCATCAAGCATAAATAAATAAGTAGTTTTCAGTTAGATATTCTCATCATATTGTGTAGTCTAGAATCCGATTTCATTGTAGATTATCTTCTCCCGTTTAGCCAAAGTTCTCCGAACATGCTGTGTTTTTGACCTCAAGAAATTTTAGTCTTCAACTAGTCAACTGTAGCAACCGCTACACCACATTCCGCTACATACTACTACTTATGAGCAATCTTGTAAGTAACATACACTACACCATTATTGTGATTATCCAAAGCATAAACTATCAACAATTTATTTGCCTTGTTTGTTCCATTCGTTTATAAATCTATATTCTTTTCTCATTTTACACTGGTTGAACAAATCGATTGTACACAAAACGTGATTATTATTATTATTATTATTATTATTACGGTAAATAGCCCTTGAATTTTAGCTCGTCTCACAATATAATTAAAATAAATATTTTACTAATGTCGAGAAATACTCTTCTTACGTAATTGTTTATCATTTGCACTAGCTATATAAATAATAACGATGTATGGATTGCATCATAACTATTCTAATTTCAATTTGTAAATAATACCAATCATTTTTTTCATTTTCAAGTGGTTGTATTTATGTTTAACGTTGTTTATATATGTATATATATATATATATATATTGAATATTGAATAGACTTGTCTCAATCGCGTAAAACGATAAACAGTAAACGATTTATTTAATTGGTGTTTGTGAAACAGAATTTGTTTACAAGTGTTATTTAATAAACAATTCAATTATAAAGATGATGTGTATGTCTGAGAGAGAGAGAGAGAGAGTGAGAGACAAAGAGAGAGAATAAGTGAGTTTAAATTAAGTCAGATTTGAGTAAACAGATGACGAAAAATGTCTCACAGAATTTTTTATACTCTTAATAGCTTCTGAAATAACATTGAAGTCTAGAAATTCTTTTTTGATGTAGATAATTTAAAATTCCATCAAAAACACAATGATCGTCTTATCCAATGGATAATTGTAAGTAAGTCAACCACTGCTTATCGGATTCGAACAGCTTAGAAGCTTAGTTTAAACTGTCATGATAAACACTATCAAAGTGTCAAAAAAATAAACAAGAAGAATAATAAAGGAGTCGAAATAGTAACAGTAGCACTAATTATAACCGCGCTCGGGTCCCTCTGCAGCTTCTACCTGTCCTAACCGCCGGATAAAGGAGGAGGGTTGGGCATAGGATTAGAGAATCCATCCCGTAAATAAATAATAAGCCCATCCTTTTCCGAGATAGTTTCGCTAACAGATGGAATCCTATTACCAGTTTCCTTAACAAGGCAGAACAGTTGTCTACTGATATCTATCATCGCTACCTTGTCCATCTTTCTCGCTTTCACTACCCACCACTATTCGCGATCATTGTGTAGGGTTTTTATCAGCCTGCGCCTAAGCTGCCTTTGCTCTCCGTCATGTTCAGAGCCAGGAGGGATGAGTTTCCGAGCATCTATCATTTCGGAAGATACTACTGAGATCCACGGCTTGTTCCTGACCTTATGGTTTACCTTACGAGCGCATATCACTACTGTCTCCGCGGCTTTTTGGATATCGTTTCAAGCTGCCTCAGGGTGGGAATCACTAACATATATTCTTAGCTATGCTATCATTAAGTAAACACTAGGAGATTTCTTTGAGGCGTCTTTCCTATGTCCATGAAGTCTCAAACAAATATGCGTTCGCACAAGAGCATGATCTGAATCTAAATATGTGCACCAGAACGATCGACAGTCCTTCATTGAACCCCTCCATCGGTGGCTGATGGTGATTTGATCTACTTGGATCAATCGTTGGGTCGGCTTTGGGGGTCGTCAGGTTGAATGTTTTCCTTATGCTTAAATTTAGTGTTTGCTAAAATTGGCGCTTATCTGAGCATAGCTGCAGCAGACAATATCCATTACCTACTCGATTAGCCGCGACACCATAAGATGTTTTTCCTTTTCACTTAGCCTATCTACTTGAACATTGGGGTCAGCAGTCACTATTACTATATCAGATAGCCTAACTTTTTGAATGAGGTTGGAAAGCTTTCTGTAAAATTCATCTTTTGCCTCGTCTGAACTTCAGTCAGTGGGAGCGTAGGCAAATACGACGAAGAGGCAACAGCTAGTGTCCTTATCTTTCCGAACCCGTAATGTCCCGTTTATTTCGAGAGTGTACAAGCGACTATCTGCTGGGTCCATTCTTAGGGAGCTAGTTCTGCCCTAGGACTTATTACTATAACTACACCAGCCAGGCCACATAAAACAGTAACACGGCTTCCAGAAACACGAAGTGTATACTGATTTGATTCTCTATCTGGACAATTTGAAATCAAATTAATGATGTCGCTCGAATGCAGCATACATCTATGGTGCGAGATTCTAACTTCCTAACCAAGGAAGCCTGTTGTTCTGTTTTACACAAGGTTCGAAGATTAAAAGCTCCAATATGCAGTTAAAGCGGGGTTTCAGGAGACCAGGAATAACGTTTCATGAACTCGAATCGTTTGCATTAGCGGTACAGGGTGCTAAAGGAATGTAAGAAGGATTAGTCGTGGAGATAAAAGATGTTAGGGGTACAGACAGGATTTGACATTGACTGATTTGGTCTTTTGTGTTGTTACGGATATGAAGGTGGATGTCACTTTCCAGCTGCCCACACTGTGGAAGGGTGTTTCTTGAGAAACCTGATGAAGAAGTTGAACTGGAATTGAACTTAGAGACCTGTGATCGTAACCACACAGATCAAGGGACAATGGCGAGAGGCCTGTTACACACGGCCTTTTCATTAGAAGTTTCCAAAGTGTTGGCTCCTCTCTCTTCAAAAGGCCTTACCGCCAGAGACCGAAATCCATCAAATAAGGTGAGGTGAGACATTTTTAAGCTCAGCATTTTCAAACCACTTCATTCTGTTGTGCGAAGGCAGCATTGCTGCACATGCTGGTTATCCGAGGGACTCACCCTACTGCTGTCACACCCGTCCACAGTCAGTAGTACGATTTCGCTCTCACACCTGCAGTTTCAGCTTTTAGTCCCACCGTTCCCCGATGGTGGGAGGACCTAAAGAAACATATGTTCTAGCCAATATAGCTCTGTTGGGTCATCACGATAGACAAGCCCGACCTCCACGTCAAGATAGCGGCTAAGGTCGGGAATGTGGCTTCTCATCCAAATGATTTTTTTGGACTTATCGAATTGTCAATTCAAATCCCATAGTAGTAGTAGCGGTATTAGTAGTAATGGGGAAAGATAGGGTCTATAATAAAAAATTATAAAATGTGCTCACTGGTGACTAGCTTCGTGAGGAGTTCTAGTCAGAAGCCATGACCGGTGGAATCCAACCCTGACGGGTGTAGGCAGTAACTACCGAATACGATGGGCAAGGTTGCGAAAAATCTTTAGATTGATCAAATGTAAACATTAACACCATTAGATGCCGGCTTAATATTCTCGAAGCTAAGCGTCCATGTGCATACCGAAAGTCTTGGGTTCGATTTCTGAGGGTAGAAAGAGTCGTAGATGCGCACTGCCAACGAGTCCCATACTAGGACAAAACAGCCGTCCAGTGCTTCTGGATGATGGCTGACTCACAATTTCAATGTAAAACAACGATATCCATAGTTCGATAATGAAAAAATATATTTAAACATTATAGACTTGTAGACTAAATGTTTCCGAATGTCAACCTGAAAGTTATACAATGGAACGAGTTTTATCCTCCAAAAACTATTAGTGGTTTTAATAAAGACAAATAATATTAGATTATTATTATTATTATTATTATTATTATTATTATTGTCGCTGGAATACAGAATATACGCGTCTCATTCAATAGCTGTTCAATAGGTATGATGCGTTTGGTTTGTCAAGTTATCGATATTTTGTTCAACTTTCCGTGTTAATATCCAAGTGATGAATGGTTGATTGCTTTTAATTTTGTTCCAACTTACTTCTACATCAATAAATATTGTTATTTTGAAGTAGGGAATAGTTGAACTCATGTAATCTATGCTGTAATCATGTTACTACTCCCTAGTCTAACTTGATGATTCTAATAAAATCAAGGATAATACTTTCAAGGTATCTCTCCCTATTCATTCAACTCATAAAATTAATATTAAATAACAAGAATAATGTAAACTTACTCAATAAATGATGTATCTGGACCAAGAATAGCTCCACAACCTGGCCAATCACAGACTTGTCCAGCAATAAGTAATGCTCTAGCAGGATCCGTTGTAAATGCTGGTAAATTAGTACCTAATGTTGAATTATTACCAAATTTTAAACCGGTTATTGTTGTCGATGATAATGACGGTGATGATGATGACGATGATAATGATGAGGAAGATGATGAAGGAATTGTTGTTACTGCCACTGTTGGTGGTATCATAAAAGAGTTAGCATTCTCATGAATATTACCATTATCTTCTTCTGTACATGTAACTGCTGTCATTAATTGATTTGAATCAAATGTATTCGATAGGAGACATCGTTGTTCTAAGGATTTATGTAATTGATCTAATTCACCGATAAGAATTTTCTCGTATAAAGCTAGAAATGTAATTGAATAAATTAAACAAAATCACATCATTATAAGAGTTGTGAAGATTGTGGAATTTCGATTGAAATCCATGAATCGATCATTGTTAGATCAACATTAGAAACCTGAAAACACTAAATGGTCATCTTGTCCCATATTAGGGGACTCGTCAGCAGCGCGCATCCACGACCATTGCGCGCGAACTCTTAACCTTTAGACCGCTGATTTGTCATCTAACGTTGTTCCATTACTGCGAATCGTGGCCGTGGATGTACATTGTTGATGAACCCTATTCTAAGATGGTACGACCGTCCAGTGTTTTTTAGGTTTCTAATAATAGTCTAACATTGCTCGATTCATGATTTCAATAAAAACTACATCAGTTCAATTATATGAGAGAATCAAACAAAACACAGTACATTTCTAAAAAAAGTTAGAAAACTGGGATAATCCGAAAACTTAATAAAATCGAAATACTTAGTAAATAAATATGCAATCGTGATATACAAAATAAGACCTTAGACAAAAAGAGATTCGAAATCGTCTCTTACTACACCATTTTAAAAAAAAAACACCGTTGAAAATAATAAGACCCATTTGCAAATAAATTGATAAAATTGTAGTACTAATGACAATAACAAAGATTATTTAATCATTGAGAATATGGTTCTAAAAGACCAATATACATATGTGTTTGTAGATGGAGGAATAGTGAAATTCATAGTTTATAAAAAGAGAATGAAACTGAACAATTATGATTGATTAGTAGGCTTGATCAACCTAATTACTTTCCCTTCAAACGCTTATTGTGATTATCAGGTTAGTGATTCCAAACCAGGCAGTTTGAACATACTAATATGATTTAGTTTTGATAAATAATTACTGCATGAACTGAGGTTTTATTTAGTAAAGAACAAGTTTGTTTTTTGAATTATCCTTCTATAACGAGAAAAAAATCATTCGTTGAGATACATAGATAGATAGATAGATAGATAGATAGATAGATAGATAGTGGCTAGTAGAACATGACTAAAATATCTTCTAAAAAATACTCATTCTCAATCGTCATGTTCATTTATGTTATGATCAGTGATAAATCTTTGATAGGAAAAATTGAGATAGATGGTCATGAATATTTACACACTTAGAATGGTTCCATTGGTTATTTCAAATCATTTGAAACAACGGTAATTTTTGAAGTTGAAGTTGGAAACGTCAGTAATATCGAGATGTTCTCTTATTCTCAATGCCTTCATTTAGAGATTAAATATATAGATTATGGGATTTCAAAACGATGAACAACGATATTCATCACAGTTTCAATAACTACTGAGAGAAAAAAAAACCAATTTACTGAATATTTTCCGAACCACCTTAAGCAACAATGCAAGCATGTTTGGAAAGCGATTCTCCTCCTTTGAAATGTAAAAATGGTGCTTCAGTATTGGTTTGCATCAACACCTGAACTAATCACAGGGATTGAAGTAGTTGTGTGTCGACTGCTTTCCTTATCTTGGGAGTCTACTCAGTCCTGATGGCCAGGTGTATGACGAAATCTCAGCACGGATACGAAAGGCTCAACTGGCTTTTGCCAACTTCTGTCACATATGGCGTAGGCGCGATATCCGTCTGGTAGTCAAAGCACGAGTTTACTGCGCGTCAGTTTGTTCCATCCTACTCTATTTAATGATTAAATGAACGAAAATATGACGGTTATTACCGACTACGGTACACTTGATAACTTGATAATATGGAGTTTATCCCCATTGCTAATCTATATAGAATACCTATCAACTATTTTAATAAACGAATAAACTTAACAGTAGTAGTAATATAAATTTCACAGATGATATTGAACTCTAAGTTTTCTTATTTACCAATTGATTGTAACTCCTTTATTTAAGAAATAAAAGTTTGGGTACTCGATTTTGTGCTATTTTAACAAAAATGTACTCAAACAACAAGTTGTCCAAAGTAATATAGTTAAGTATGCTGCTTATTATAGAGTTGGGGAGATTATTTTTTATTGAAACCTGGAAACAATGGATGACCGATACGTCCTATTAAGGGACTATTCTGTAGTACACATCCATTACCTCTGCTATTTTCAATAAACGAACCCAGGACCTGTTCATCTCACGTGAGAACTCTTAGCCTCTGGTCGACTGAGCCGGCACCCAATGTGGTTAGTGTTCAACTTTAATCAATCTAAGGATTTTGCGCAACCTCACCCATTGTCTTCGGTAGTTACTGCCTACACCCTACAATGATTGAACTCCACTGGTCACGACTTATCACTAAAACTAAAAAAATTTCCTCACAAAGCTAGTCACTCATGAGCACATTTTTTTTTAATTTTCATGACAGAGTTATGAAGATTGTTGTGTTTCATTCGAAATCATGAATAGATATCGTTGTCAGACAAGCATTAGAAATCTGGAAGCATTGAACGACGGCCGTTTCATGACTTTAACACAATTTGAAAGCTGTTAAATGACTCATCTATCTAATCAACAAAAACAGTATTATATTCTTATAATTCACAAAAGTAACTGAATAATCTACATTTCCAATATACGATCTAAAAAATATTCAATGCATTCATTCAAGTGAGTCCAATGCTTACTTAGTGAAGTAAGTTCAGTTCAATGAGAAAAAAAATGGAAGCAGAAACAATCTTTTTGTCTTTTTAACATTATTGACATATGGGGATCAGCTGATTTTTTGTTTTATACAGGATAAGAAAACAGTTTAATAGTAAATTGCTATTTCTTACAACGTCAACAAAATGAAATACATAACTGGTATGTGTCATTTGTTGTATATATATATCACATGCATGCATCTATCTATCTATCTATCTATCTATCTATGTGTAACATACACATATATGGTGTAACAGGTGTCAATGTTTCTATTACAAAACAACAACAACAACAACAACAAATGATGATCGATAAACAAACAAATATACACATAAATAAATAAAGTACTAGGATCAATAAACATTGAGCTAAAATCAATCGAGTCAATAAAATATTCAAAGCATCAAATGTGAATGAATCAAATAAAATTGAGCTAATTATTATTGATATTACTGAAGTTTCTTTTAATAATTTGACAAAGTTTCTCAGATCTTGAACGTGATACACGCTATGAACACCTTCAAACTGGCTATTTGAACGAGAAGGTAATAGTAGCGGAGAAAGTTTTATTTGGCTACTGAATCATATATATATATATATATATATTCCTTCCACTAACAAAATCAATCAATTTCCTGATCAATGGTATGCATTCGTCCTTTTGGGACAGTTCAGATGGGTTACCATCAAATGACCTTTTGCTTTGGGAATTTCTGATTGGCCAATCATGTCGGTTGGTAGATTTACACCAGGGATTGGTTTTAGTTAAACAGTTAAAGGAAGAATTGGAAGACTGTCTCATTCTAGAGTATGGGGCTCGTCAATAGTGCCAACCCATGATTCGGTTAAGGACTTTCAGGCTTTGTGGAAAGCAGTTAGCTCTCTGACTGGTGAGTTAGTATTCAGTGATTTACATTTCCGAATCCAATCTATGAACTTAGGCATGTTGGTAAATGTAGACTACTTTGGTTAGAGCCCATGAGATGATAGTAACCGATAGTTAGGGTTAGAGACCTCAAATGACATGATCGAAAACCATTTGCAATGGCGCAGATGCATCTACTCTTTTTCTTCTGTCAAATTCTGATCTTCTGAATCCTTCATGACCGTTTTTCTCTCTTTTTTTAAAAAAATTGATTCCTCTGGGATATACTTCTCGAATGATATGTTCGATCACTAATCTTTTTGATTATCGCCAATACTTCTACTACTACTATGGGATTTTGTAGCTGACTAACTAACTGACTAAATCTAATTTATTCAACATAATGTACAACCATTTTCCAATGCTATTTAAAAAAAAAATAGCAATCTTGAACACTTTATACGATTAAATTTTTACTGATCATAACTTTTCACTAGAAATCTTAAAATTGTCTTTTTAAATCAGTTCCAAATTATGATTAGTTGGTTAATTGAACTCATGATTAAATTTCCAAGCCGTTTTTATTAAACCCAAGCTAGATTTACACAAATGGAACATAAGAGAAAAGGAAAAAAGTGCTTTACTCTAAAAAATGTTCATGTACAGAAAAAAAAATGCATAGTTTAGAGGTTTTGGTATAAACTGCAAACATCATTACAATCATTCAATCCATAAGCAAGAATGTTGATCTTTATATCACAAAAAGAGATCCAAGTCTAATTGTCTTTGGTTAAACAACTAACTACTACTGAAAACCCAAAAAACTTATTATTGAACAGTTTTTTATTTTGTTCTTAAATGAGAATTGATACTGTTAATCACAATTTGGTTGGACCACTCCTAATTCCCCTCTCTCTCTCTCTACCTGTTAACATCACCTGTTGTTATTACACAATGATTAAGGCATTACATAACACCTATTCTCCACTGACCAATTGAAAAATATACGACATACTTTATGAAACATCATCGTTGGTGTTAATTACCTCAAACAGTAAAAAAAAAACTCTGACAATTGATTTTTAAATAATTGATAATTTATCGAAAAATCAAAGTATATGAAAATATCATTTTATCATTACAGTTATATGATAGACAGCTAACCCTACTAACTAACTAACTAACTAACTAACTAACCCATAAGTAATAAGTATTGTTGTGAATAATAATAATAATAATAAACGGCACATGATTTTCGATTAGAATACTTTTAAAAATAATGTTTATGTATATATACACATATATTTTATTAGTATATTCATCGTCCCTCAAGTCATATTTTTCTCTCTCTCGCTCTTTTCTTATGCATAAATCCCCTTATACATACATATATTAACTGTATAAACATATGAATGTATGCATGGTTTATTTCGCTCGTCTCGAAACTATTTTCCGATCATATGAAGAATTGTACACAACTTTAGTCAACAAACTTACATAT